TTGACTTCTTCTGCAGACTTTGTGCTTTTTAAACTATATCCTGCTCATTCAGGACATTACCAGCTTTTGGTATTGACAAATTCTATGGTTTATAAAATATTCAACTTATTTTGTGATCATCCTGGGATCCGTTGAAATGAAAGGAACATTTCTGAAAAGTTATGATGAGCTCTTTAACTTCGACGCATTTATGTCACTAAAACTTTAAACTGTATTTTTATCCTTCTACTACTTCGTTGTGCGTTTATTTAACTTTTTTTATATAGTTTTTTTTTCAGTTTGTGCTGGTATTACGCTTTTTATATTCTTAAAAAAAAAAAAAAAAAAAACATTGGCCCGGTAGCTCTGAGGATTCCCAGTCTAATCCTACTTTTTAGCTCTGCTTACAGCATTTTCCTAGGAAATGCAACTTTTCTAGTTATGTCTGTCCCTTTCTACAACAGTACGACACCATCTTGAACCTTTTTGCTCAAGAAAAAGAGTCAATATTCCTTTTCCCAAACCTCTGCATGCGGCAGTATGGCGCGAACTTCCTGAGTAATTCCTAAATAGCTCGATGCACTCGGTTTACGCGCCGACTCAAAAAAAGAAAAAAAAAGTTCCTCTCATTAAAAGTGGATACCAGCGATGACTTGAAGTTTATTTCTGCGTTCAGACTCGGGGGGGAGAGGGGGGGAAGCGTATAAATCACCTGCAGTATGCGTGGCGTTTGATTACCACACCAGAGCTGGAACCACAAGAGCCCAGTGTTGAAATATCAGCCAAACGGAGTCCATCAAGGCTGCTCCAGAGCGATCTGTGCGCGCTGATAGTGCCCGGAGAACAATGGCCACGGCATCCTTGCATGGCAGGGCGAAGGAACAGGAAATGACTTCTTGTTTTAACAGCTTGGCACCATTATGGTGAAATCTCACTGAAAGTAGCGGGGACGGCTGACTTGATTGTCCCAGTAAGATGTAAATTGACAGTGTGAGGGGTCAGAAGTAGAAAGGGCTGCAAAAATAGTTAGCTGAACAGAAGGTCCCACTCCTCCAGAGCCGGTTGACAACACTTCTATTAATAGTGAGGATTGTCCTTGGGTATTTTTATAAAAGGTGTGTGTGTGTGTGTGTGTGTGTGTGTGTGTGTGTGTGTGTGTGTGTGTGTGTGTAAGGGAGAGAGAGAGAGGGGTGGGGGGAGGGGGGGAAAGAAAGTGTGTATGTGTGCGTGTGTGTGCAAAGCAGAAGAGGATGAGGATTTCTCAGAGAAGACAGGAAGAAGATCCTCTTACAGCAGCAGCCTCAGACGCGGCTCATGCGTCAGACCTGCCGGCTTATATCACTCCCCTCAAACCTTGTCCTCTGTCTCCCCCCTTCATGCACTTAATGTCACACATTCCATGTAGCTTTGAGTTTGTAATTTTCGCCACTGACACACACACACACACACACACGCGCGCACACAAACACGCACACACATCCCCAGTCTATTTATAACCCAGTGCAGGATTTTAAGGTAAAACTCTGATGACTCCTTGTCTTACCCCCGGCCGCATGCCTTACAAGGACCCCCTTGGAGCGCACAATCGCTTAGCAACCGGCAGTGTTTGCACCTAAGCTGTGAAGGTCCGGCGCACGACGCCCACCTGCCCTTCGTCGTCCCAATCATCAGCGCCACTGCGCGCCGTCCCGCTCAATTCGTATGGATTTTATTCACCGCAGAAACTGTAAGTTGGAGGTCTGAATATAAAGATCCGGGCTAGCCACACGTTTACAACACCGACTGGTTTGTTGATGTACAGTGGAGAGATGGTTAGGCGCTAAAAGACCACATCTCCGATTTACACAGAGTCCTTTTACTAACCAGGAAGACAGCTGGTTTTACTGGGAGATTAAAATGGACTGAATACGAAAACAGCATTTTGATATTTGAGATTGTATTTTACTTTGTTTTCCACACACACACACGCACATACACACACACAAAAGAAAACAATTGAAATGCGTCATTTAAGGTTCAATATTGATTTGGCGAAATTTAAGAGACTGCTTAAAATTGTTAGTTTCTCTGTTTTTACTTTTTATAGGTGCATGTTTGCATAATGAACGTTGTTCTTTTATTCTACAAACTACTGACATGTCTCTGAAATTCAAAGCAAACATTTTCTATTTATATGCACAAAAATGAGAAATTGTCAGAATAATGAAGATGCAGCAGTGCTTTCAGACCTCAAATAATGCAAAGAAAACAAGTTCATGTTCATTTAGAAACAACAATACTAATGTTTTAACTCAGGAAGAGTTCAGATATCAGAATAACCGCAAGGTTTTCAGTGCAGTGGGCTCTTAATTTTTTTTTTTTCCAGAGCTGTATATAAACCTTTCATTTACACAGAAGCTCTGACACAGTTTGGAATAATCCTCATAATGTTGTTGCATTTGCTGCTTACAGCTCTCAGCCAGATGGGAAGTCCACACACAAGAGATCCAAGATTGTCTTTTTGAAAAATATTCCTCAATATTTTCAGAAAACTCAATTAAAAAGCAGAGCTCTGGCAGTCCCTTTTGTAACGAGATTAGCTCTAGTGCTGACACTTTGCCAGCGCTCCCATAAGCAATTATAACAATCACTATAATCCACATTGTCGGACTATCTTATTACAACATTTCCAATTTACCTGATTGTACCCTGATGTCCCACAATGTCATGAAGTCCAATTAAGTTCATTATCCCCCCAGAGAGTGACAGAGAGCCGCGGTAATGACGGCAGGAGAGTGTTGGAGCAGAAATGTCAATGCTATTAGAGAGAGCTGGAGAGACATGTTGGAGGATAAGTAGATATCCACGTAGTCTGAGGGGGAAAATAGAACTGGAGGATACAATATGGCAATAAGTGGTATAGTTGCATTAATTAAGGCCAACCTTAAATTTGTGCTTGTTGAATGTGACATTTAGTGGCCAGGTACAGGATAATGGATTGCGTAAAAGCATGTTGGCATCAATTTGGACTTAAACACTGAGGTGCAAGAGGCATCTGGAGGGGGAAAAAAACAAAAACATCCTAATAAAAAAAAGACAAAGAGTGGAAAAACATTTTCTTTTTGAAAAATATTCCTCAATATTTTCAGAAAACTCAATTAAAAAGCAGAGCTCTGGCAGTCCCTTTTGTAACGAGATTAGCTCTAGTGCTGACACTTTGCCAGCGCTCCCATAAGCAATTATAACAATCACTATAATCCACATTGTCGGACTATCTTATTACAACATTTCCAATTTACCTGATTGTACCCTGATGTCCCACAATGTCATGAAGTCCAATTAAGTTCATTATCCCCCCAGAGAGTGACAGAGAGCCGCGGTAATGACGGCAGGAGAGTGTTGGAGCAGAAATGTCAATGCTATTAGAGAGAGCTGGAGAGACATGTTGGAGGATAAGTAGATATCCACGTAGTCTGAGGGGGAAAATAGAACTGGAGGATACAATATGGCAATAAGTGGTATAGTTGCATTAATTAAGGCCAACCTTAAATTTGTGCTTGTTGAATGTGACATTTAGTGGCCAGGTACAGGATAATGGATTGCGTAAAAGCATGTTGGCATCAATTTGGACTTAAACACTGAGGTGCAAGAGGCATCTGGAGGGGGAAAAAAACAAAAACATCCTAATAAAAAAAAGACAAAGAGTGGAAAAACATTTTCTTTTTGAAAAATATCCAGTCAGAGCAGAAGTATCCATATCCTCCTGCTTTTTTTTCCTTCTCATTTTATTTTGATGCAATCGCAAAGTTTATGATATTTTATTGGGGTTTTATGATACGTAAAATGTCATTTCTCTAAACTTGGAAAAGCGAACACGGCAAGCGTTCGCACTCAAAGAGTGTTTCAGAAAACCTCACATCACTAAACACACCATCTCCACTGTGAGAAATGGCGGCAGCAGCATCATGGCGAGGGGAGGCGTTTCTTTTTCCGGGGCTGCGAGTTCATGGGAATATGGACGGAGCTGAAAACAGGAAAATCAACGAAGGAAACTAAGCAAAAAGCTGGAGCTGCTGAAGCATTTTCAAATATCATATTGGTGTTAGTGGTGTAAAACACAGCTTTAATGTAATGCACAAAATGAAAAAGTTAATCTACTGATCATTCAAACATACACCAGTCACACTTTTCAGATTTTTATTTGGAAAAATGACCGTTAAACATAAATATGGTGTACTTAGTGTTGAAATGTGACAGTGTGAGTTTAAAAACTCTATGGGGTTCAGAAAATTATCAAAACATAGATTTGAGAATATTTTTTTTTTATTTATCCTCAGATAACACAATATTGTTATCATGACAGACACACCACAGATCTGAAAATCCTTATTGCTTCCACAAAGTACAAAAAAAAGCTTTCCATAGAGTCGTTTTTGTCTCCGCTCTTCTTGACAGCAGTTACTACCACTGATGAAATCTACTGAGGCACAGAAAGCCCATTTGATGTTCTGAATGACAGTTTTTAACACACACCTCACATTTTCATTTCTCCCGAAGGAATAAAAACCTCTGAGAACATTTGTTATTTGAGCCATCAGCAGTTACAGCGATGGCCACAAGGGGGCGGTAAAGGTTTCCAACATGGCTCACACGCTCAGTAAAGTACACATTTGCTATGGCTGGATAAAAATCAGTGGAATTTCAGTCATAAGCCTAAAAACATATATAATAAGATAAATATATACATACATATATTAAACAATAATGCAAATTAAAATATAGTTATTTCCAGTTTTCAGTGGTCCCCACCCCAAAAAAAGCCGGATCATATCAAAACTATTTTATAACAAAGCAGCTATTTTCGCCTTATTGAATAATTAAGGATATCTAATAGGGGTTTAGGTTAAAATGCTATATAAACTCAAAGATGACAAGAAGGACAAACTATGGAAACCCTGAGAGGCAGGTGAAAAATAAAATATTAATTTTCTATTGACTCCAGATGAGTCAATACAAATGACTGTAGCAGGTGTTAGAGAGCATTTTTCTAAGGTTTTGAATTTTACACGCAACAGATGAAAACATGGCGGCAGCGTCATGCTGGGCTTTTCTACAGTAGGAATGTGGAAGTTGGTCAGAGGTGATTTAATCATCTCTAAAATACCAAATAGGGTTTAAGCATTAAAAAGGACGCAGAGTTAGAACATAGATTCTAGGGGGAAACAAGAAACTCAGTGATTTTTTTTTTTTTTTTTTTGGGAATCCATCTTTCACTTCAGAACTGAAAGACATGGGAGAAACTTAGAAAAAAACAACAACTTTATATTAATTGACTGATTGTCAGGCGGTCGCCATGTGGTTGTTTTGACAGTAAAAAGTTCAGTGTTAAAATCTGCAACTCCTTCACATTTCCCCATGCGCCTAACACACACACACGCTTGGTCAGACACACACTCAGAAATCAAAACAGAAGGAGAAAACTGTCTGCTCCAACCTGACCAGAGTATGGATCTCTGTTTCATTTGGCATACATATATTTCTTCTGGTTAGAAGCAGATAAAAAATATACAGTATTATATACGGTTTATAATAATGTGAGGACTAATGCCTAGAGGAATGCTATATTTTACAGAACAGCATTAACTTTCTATGATGTATTGATCTTTAGAACATCGTCATAATAAAATACCTCTCTAACATTTCTAGGAAGGATTTCCTAAAATTAAAAGTGTGGGCTTCGCGTGAACGCAGGCGTCCTATAGGTTGCTGAAGAGCTCGTTTTTCTTGGTCCAGTCCATGGGCGGGGCTCTCTTGTTGGAGCGTTTCTGGTGGGTGAGCTCTTTGACCTGCTGCAGCGTGAGGTTGAGAGCTGGGATGGCATTTGTGACCAGACCCTGAGGAAGAAAACAAAACAAAAATTGTTAACTCACCTGTTTTAAAAAGGCTCTACTTTAAGAACCAAATCATATACGATGAGGTTGATTATTTTCTGCGACGTACCTCGGGTGGGGTGTGTGCAGATGGGGTTGTGAGTGAGGCGTTGGACGACGCGTTGGACGGGGAAGGGCTGACGGAGAGCTTGGAGTTCCTCTCTCTCGCTTTGGGTACTCTGCCATTCACCTAATCAGACAAACATTCATCGGCATTCCTTCAAAGATTCAAATAGTTTATGCAATAATATTAAGAGCAAGACAGCAGGAAGTCAAGCTTTGTTGTAGTATCCAATTTCGCCACATGGGGGCAGAGGCGGATTTGAAATATTTTAGAAAACTATTCAGACCGGACTCACTTTAATAATATAAAGTGTGCCACGTAGTAAAAAATAAAATAAAATAAAAACTGGGCAAAACATTTTTATCTAAAAATTTTGTTCTAAGCATATACCATTATAAAATCTCTACATTTATTTTGGAAAATAAATTGTAGGAATTTCACAAAAAATAAAAAATAAAGAAAAGCTGGTAAACAAAAAAAAAAAAATTAAAAGAAAAATTAAGAAAATGAATCTTAACTTTGATGCTGTATTGGCAAAAAACCTTTCCAGCTAGTTGGTCACGGACTTGTTAACGTGTTACTGGTTAAACACTTTTATCCACCAGTAATGCAGCGTTTCACCTGACCTCCAGGTTCATCTCCTCCCTTCACTGCTCATCGACGCGCGTTACGCAACAATGCACGGAAGAAGTATGACCGCGGTTGCACATAACGTTCCTGAGTAACAGGAAGTGCCGGTCAGGTTTCACTCTGCATATCTGGCCCAAAGCCAGAGTCAAATTGGTCAGCGTAAAAAACAAAGCAGTTTCTCTTAATTCTCTGTGTGGGCGAATTCACCTAAAACAATATCACTTACATGTCGATATAAGTGTATTTACACAGAGAAGAGATGTTCTGGATATCTGACACTTGTGATGCAAATGACATTGAAACAACAAACACGAGTGCAAGGTTATGAGGTTTTGTTTGTATATGCAATACCTGATTTCAAAGAAAATGTTTGGCAACTGGGAAAGTTAGTGGAAAAGTAAACAGGGATTCAAAGTCTGGCTGTACTCCCCGGTCGCTAACGAAAGCAGGAGAAAAACAAATCGGCTTTGCTGTATAAAAGTTTTATAAATCTTTTTAAATCTGGACAAAACCGTTCCCATTTCTATTGTTCAAACTTATTTCAGAAAAAAGAGGTATTTTTTTTCCATATACAGTCTATGAAGCACACAAATCATCCAAAGTTTTTGGAGAACCAGTGGGGTGGAGCCTTTAGCAGATCTCCACACAATAAAGACCAGAGTTGTAAGACAATAACAGGAAAGGCAGTTCCGTAAACGTCTTTGATTAATAAATCAATTCATCAGTGTTTCAATTTTCCAAAGTAGCACACCACTTTAACAAAAAAAAATACATATACAAAGTTATATTTTGCTTTCGAACATCCTTGGTTTCAAGGAGTTCTTGAAGCAGAAAACTATTCTTGTCCTCTTTCTGTTGGCAGGAAGAAGCTGGATCAGAGAAGAGGGAAGTGGCCTCTGTGGGAGATTGGTCATCTTTCCACACTTCAAAGTTCAAATCTCACACTAAGTTTTTGTTTCAAAGCCAGCTCATTAAAAAAAAAAAAAAAAAAAAAAGTCTCTGAAATCTCAGAGACGAGTCTGTTATTGTTGGTTAATCTCACCTTCTCTTCTGTTTCTCCATTAACGACTGGCTCTGGAAGTGGACCTGCAGAAAAAATAAAAAATAAAAAAATCACAGCAGTTAGCCAGGTAAATGTCTCAATTTGTCTCAGTAAGTCAACTAATTTTTATAAAAAAAATATATATAAAAAAAACATGCAGGAGTTCTTTTCTTATCAACCACATGTTGAAAAGTTGAAGCTTTAGCGTTACCTTCCATCCTATTAACTCCCTTTAGCCTGAACAGATGACTTCTTATAAGAGACAAAGCAAAATATCTGGCTTTTTAAGAATAATTTTAGATTTAAATCTTCAAATCCTTATTGCCTGCGTACCTCTGTGACCTGTACTCTTAAAACAAGCCTCAACGTAGCCCTGGCATGAGTGGCGGTTTTGTACTGGACTTTGTGGAAACCGAACAAAGTGCTGCGCAGCGAAGGCTGCTTGGAGACGCGCAGCGGTGTGTGTCGGTTCGCTGAGTGACAGTGGGCAGCGTGTGGAGAGCTGGCAGTTACCCGGGAAACACCTCGCTGAAATCTTTCCCCTGCAAAGAGGGTTATTATTTCTAATTCTGGACTGAGCAATGTAATCCGTCACGGAAATATAGAAAGTAGAAGTAAATTGATTAAAATAGGACAAATTGATGGGATGCAGGTAGAAGTTGTTGTTTTTTTTATTAGTTTTAAGCTAACATCTTTTTGCCGTTCTGCACTTTGAGTAGAATAAGTCTAGCAACATGGGTAATTAGTGGGGCTATCTGCTCCGATAGCAATGCTGGCTGCTTGGCAGATCAGCTTCCAGGCAGCTTAGAACTTTTTGCACAGCGTTACCTTAATAAGAGTGATAGGAGGCACTCTTACTACAGAACCTGAAATATTCCCAAACAGGCTATTTAGTCTTTTTTTCAGCCATCTGATCAGCAGTTTGCAGCAATAGGTGAGGGAGGGGCAGTGCTACTTAACTTTATACTTTATTGTCATTGCACAGCACCACTAAATTGTGTCTTTGACAGCCTTAAGGTTCACAAGTTTAACAATAAACAACCATAAAAACATGACCTGGGCAGGAAAATAGACCATACAATTAAATCAGACACTTTTTTTTCCAGTTTTAGGTTACAGCTCCATATCCCATAATTTGTACAATTTGTCTGACTTTGGCTAATAAAAGTACACCCACAAACACAGAAAAAAATGAAAGTGAACCTGTCTGGTCCTAAATATTAATCCTCAAAGTCCCAAGAGACTTAGCTGAGGCTCAAACTGTTCAAACTATGCAGTTTCTCTGCCGACTCGATTTACCTGACTTATCATTGACTGAGGAATCACTGGACCAAGTAACCTTATATATATGATATAAGGAGACTAAAATGAAAAGTTGTTTTGGACGCAAAATAAAATAATAAATAAATAAATAAATAATAATAAAAGTTGAGACAGAGTTCCTCTACTGTTGCCTTTTTTTCCCCATTTAAACGTCTCTGCCTGGGTGCAAAGACGTTCATGTTTATAAAAGTAATGTTTTGGCAAAATGGTTCTCAAGGTCCTTATTAAAAACTGAACGCCACACACGTGGTGAGTGTCTAAGGAGCAATCTTGTGTTTTCTGGGAGAGGCTTTTACATCAGAAACAAGAACTTTACTACAGCTCCCTCTAGTGGCTTTATTAAAAAAACAACTCAAAACAAACCTCTTCTTGAGATAAAAAGGGCAAAAAGTAAGATGAAGTGGTTTGTGACCTTCACCTGCACTCTGAGACACATCGTCAGATTAAAATAATAACATTTGAGAAAATGCTGTGAGATTACTAAAATGTAGGGTTTTTTTATACATATATGTATTTTGGTGTTTTTTTGCACCGTTAGGCTCAATTTCAGAAAACCTCTTTGCCCTCAAACGTAAACAAGCCGGCTAGTCTCTGATCCATCTGTTCTGATGTATTTATGCTGAAAGATTAACTTTCCCTGCAGGGCAACAACATTAGGTGGTGGTGGCAGGAAGTGGTTTAGTGTCTGTGATCCTCAACAAAAAGAAGGAGNGTGTGTGTGCAAAGCAGAAGAGGATGAGGATTTCTCAGAGAAGACAGGAAGAAGATCCTCTTACAGCAGCAGCCTCAGACGCGGCTCATGCGTCAGACCTGCCGGCTTATATCACTCCCCTCAAACCTTGTCCTCTGTCTCCCCCCTTCATGCACTTAATGTCACACATTCCATGTAGCTTTGAGTTTGTAATTTTCGCCACTGACACACACACACACACACACACGCGCGCACACAAACACGCACACACATCCCCAGTCTATTTATAACCCAGTGCAGGATTTTAAGGTAAAACTCTGATGACTCCTTGTCTTACCCCCGGCCGCATGCCTTACAAGGACCCCCTTGGAGCGCACAATCGCTTAGCAACCGGCAGTGTTTGCACCTAAGCTGTGAAGGTCCGGCGCACGACGCCCACCTGCCCTTCGTCGTCCCAATCATCAGCGCCACTGCGCGCCGTCCCGCTCAATTCGTATGGATTTTATTCACCGCAGAAACTGTAAGTTGGAGGTCTGAATATAAAGATCCGGGCTAGCCACACGTTTACAACACCGACTGGTTTGTTGATGTACAGTGGAGAGATGGTTAGGCGCTAAAAGACCACATCTCCGATTTACACAGAGTCCTTTTACTAACCAGGAAGACAGCTGGTTTTACTGGGAGATTAAAATGGACTGAATACGAAAACAGCATTTTGATATTTGAGATTGTATTTTACTTTGTTTTCCACACACACACACGCACATACACACACACAAAAGAAAACAATTGAAATGCGTCATTTAAGGTTCAATATTGATTTGGCGAAATTTAAGAGACTGCTTAAAATTGTTAGTTTCTCTGTTTTTACTTTTTATAGGTGCATGTTTGCATAATGAACGTTGTTCTTTTATTCTACAAACTACTGACATGTCTCTGAAATTCAAAGCAAACATTTTCTATTTATATGCACAAAAATGAGAAATTGTCAGAATAATGAAGATGCAGCAGTGCTTTCAGACCTCAAATAATGCAAAGAAAACAAGTTCATGTTCATTTAGAAACAACAATACTAATGTTTTAACTCAGGAAGAGTTCAGATATCAGAATAACCGCAAGGTTTTCAGTGCAGTGGGCTCTTAATTTTTTTTTTTTCCAGAGCTGTATATAAACCTTTCATTTACACAGAAGCTCTGACACAGTTTGGAATAATCCTCATAATGTTGTTGCATTTGCTGCTTACAGCTCTCAGCCAGATGGGAAGTCCACACACAAGAGATCCAAGATTGTCTTTTTGAAAAATATTCCTCAATATTTTCAGAAAACTCAATTAAAAAGCAGAGCTCTGGCAGTCCCTTTTGTAACGAGATTAGCTCTAGTGCTGACACTTTGCCAGCGCTCCCATAAGCAATTATAACAATCACTATAATCCACATTGTCGGACTATCTTATTACAACATTTCCAATTTACCTGATTGTACCCTGATGTCCCACAATGTCATGAAGTCCAATTAAGTTCATTATCCCCCCAGAGAGTGACAGAGAGCCGCGGTAATGACGGCAGGAGAGTGTTGGAGCAGAAATGTCAATGCTATTAGAGAGAGCTGGAGAGACATGTTGGAGGATAAGTAGATATCCACGTAGTCTGAGGGGGAAAATAGAACTGGAGGATACAATATGGCAATAAGTGGTATAGTTGCATTAATTAAGGCCAACCTTAAATTTGTGCTTGTTGAATGTGACATTTAGTGGCCAGGTACAGGATAATGGATTGCGTAAAAGCATGTTGGCATCAATTTGGACTTAAACACTGAGGTGCAAGAGGCATCTGGAGGGGGAAAAAAACAAAAACATCCTAATAAAAAAAAGACAAAGAGTGGAAAAACATTTTCTTTTTGAAAAATATCCAGTCAGAGCAGAAGTATCCATATCCTCCTGCTTTTTTTTCCTTCTCATTTTATTTTGATGCAATCGCAAAGTTTATGATATTTTATTGGGGTTTTATGATACGTAAAATGTCATTTCTCTAAACTTGGAAAAGCGAACACGGCAAGCGTTCGCACTCAAAGAGTGTTTCAGAAAACCTCACATCACTAAACACACCATCTCCACTGTGAGAAATGGCGGCAGCAGCATCATGGCGAGGGGAGGCGTTTCTTTTTCCGGGGCTGCGAGTTCATGGGAATATGGACGGAGCTGAAAACAGGAAAATCAACGAAGGAAACTAAGCAAAAAGCTGGAGCTGCTGAAGCATTTTCAAATATCATATTGGTGTTAGTGGTGTAAAACACAGCTTTAATGTAATGCACAAAATGAAAAAGTTAATCTACTGATCATTCAAACATACACCAGTCACACTTTTCAGATTTTTATTTGGAAAAATGACCGTTAAACATAAATATGGTGTACTTAGTGTTGAAATGTGACAGTGTGAGTTTAAAAACTCTATGGGGTTCAGAAAATTATCAAAACATAGATTTGAGAATATTTTTTTTTTATTTATCCTCAGATAACACAATATTGTTATCATGACAGACACACCACAGATCTGAAAATCCTTATTGCTTCCACAAAGTACAAAAAAAAGCTTTCCATAGAGTCGTTTTTGTCTCCGCTCTTCTTGACAGCAGTTACTACCACTGATGAAATCTACTGAGGCACAGAAAGCCCATTTGATGTTCTGAATGACAGTTTTTAACACACACCTCACATTTTCATTTCTCCCGAAGGAATAAAAACCTCTGAGAACATTTGTTATTTGAGCCATCAGCAGTTACAGCGATGGCCACAAGGGGGCGGTAAAGGTTTCCAACATGGCTCACACGCTCAGTAAAGTACACATTTGCTATGGCTGGATAAAAATCAGTGGAATTTCAGTCATAAGCCTAAAAACATATATAATAAGATAAATATATACATACATATATTAAACAATAATGCAAATTAAAATATAGTTATTTCCAGTTTTCAGTGGTCCCCACCCCAAAAAAAGCCGGATCATATCAAAACTATTTTATAACAAAGCAGCTATTTTCGCCTTATTGAATAATTAAGGATATCTAATAGGGGTTTAGGTTAAAATGCTATATAAACTCAAAGATGACAAGAAGGACAAACTATGGAAACCCTGAGAGGCAGGTGAAAAATAAAATATTAATTTTCTATTGACTCCAGATGAGTCAATACAAATGACTGTAGCAGGTGTTAGAGAGCATTTTTCTAAGGTTTTGAATTTTACACGCAACAGATGAAAACATGGCGGCAGCGTCATGCTGGGCTTTTCTACAGTAGGAATGTGGAAGTTGGTCAGAGGTGATTTAATCATCTCTAAAATACCAAATAGGGTTTAAGCATTAAAAAGGACGCAGAGTTAGAACATAGATTCTAGGGGGAAACAAGAAACTCAGTGATTTTTTTTTTTTTTTTTTTGGGAATCCATCTTTCACTTCAGAACTGAAAGACATGGGAGAAACTTAGAAAAAAACAACAACTTTATATTAATTGACTGATTGTCAGGCGGTCGCCATGTGGTTGTTTTGACAGTAAAAAGTTCAGTGTTAAAATCTGCAACTCCTTCACATTTCCCCATGCGCCTAACACACACACACGCTTGGTCAGACACACACTCAGAAATCAAAACAGAAGGAGAAAACTGTCTGCTCCAACCTGACCAGAGTATGGATCTCTGTTTCATTTGGCATACATATATTTCTTCTGGTTAGAAGCAGATAAAAAATATACAGTATTATATACGGTTTATAATAATGTGAGGACTAATGCCTAGAGGAATGCTATATTTTACAGAACAGCATTAACTTTCTATGATGTATTGATCTTTAGAACATCGTCATAATAAAATACCTCTCTAACATTTCTAGGAAGGATTTCCTAAAATTAAAAGTGTGGGCTTCGCGTGAACGCAGGCGTCCTATAGGTTGCTGAAGAGCTCGTTTTTCTTGGTCCAGTCCATGGGCGGGGCTCTCTTGTTGGAGCGTTTCTGGTGGGTGAGCTCTTTGACCTGCTGCAGCGTGAGGTTGAGAGCTGGGATGGCATTTGTGACCAGACCCTGAGGAAGAAAACAAAACAAAAATTGTTAACTCACCTGTTTTAAAAAGGCTCTACTTTAAGAACCAAATCATATACGATGAGGTTGATTATTTTCTGCGACGTACCTCGGGTGGGGTGTGTGCAGATGGGGTTGTGAGTGAGGCGTTGGACGACGCGTTGGACGGGGAAGGGCTGACGGAGAGCTTGGAGTTCCTCTCTCTCGCTTTGGGTACTCTGCCATTCACCTAATCAGACAAACATTCATCGGCATTCCTTCAAAGATTCAAATAGTTTATGCAATAATATTAAGAGCAAGACAGCAGGAAGTCAAGCTTTGTTGTAGTATCCAATTTCGCCACATGGGGGCAGAGGCGGATTTGAAATATTTTAGAAAACTATTCAGACCGGACTCACTTTAATAATATAAAGTGTGCCACGTAGTAAAAAATAAAATAAAATAAAAACTGGGCAAAACATTTTTATCTAAAAATTTTGTTCTAAGCATATACCATTATAAAATCTCTACATTTATTTTGGAAAATAAATTGTAGGAATTTCACAAAAAATATAAAATAATGAAAAGCTGGTAAACAAAAAAAAAAAAATTAAAAGAAAAATTAAGAAAATGAATCTTAACTTTGATGCTGTATTGGCAAAAAACCTTTCCAGCTAGTTGGTCACGGACTTGTTAACGTGTTACTGGTTAAACACTTTTATCCACCAGTAATGCAGCGTTTCACCTGACCTCCAGGTTCATCTCCTCCCTTCACTGCTCATCGACGCGCGTTACGCAACAATGCACGGAAGAAGTATGACCGCGGTTGCACATAACGTTCCTGAGTAACAGGAAGTGCCGGTCAGGTTTCACTCTGCATATCTGGCCCAAAGCCAGAGTCAAATTGGTCAGCGTAAAAAACAAAGCAGTTTCTCTTAATTCTCTGTGTGGGCGAATTCACCTAAAACAATATCACTTACATGTCGATATAAGTGTATTTACACAGAGAAGAGATGTTCTGGATATCTGACACTTGTGATGCAAATGACATTGAAACAACAAACACGAGTGCAAGGTTATGAGGTTTTGTTTGTATATGCAATACCTGATTTCAAAGAAAATGTTTGGCAACTGGGAAAGTTAGTGGAAAAGTAAACAGGGATTCAAAGTCTGGCTGTACTCCCCGGTCGCTAACGAAAGCAGGAGAAAAACAAATCGGCTTTGCTGTATAAAAGTTTTATAAATCTTTTTAAATCTGGACAAAACCGTTCCCATTTCTATTGTTCAAACTTATTTCAGAAAAAAGAGGTATTTTTTTTCCATATACAGTCTATGAAGCACACAAATCATCCAAAGTTTTTGGAGAACCAGTGGGGTGGAGCCTTTAGCAGATCTCCACACAATAAAGACCAGAGTTGTAAGACAATAACAGGAAAGGCAGTTCCGTAAACGTCTTTGATTAATAAATCAATTCATCAGTGTTTCAATTTTCCAAAGTAGCACACCACTTTAACAAAAAAAAATACATATACAAAGTTATATTTTGCTTTCGAACATCCTTGGTTTCAAGGAGTTCTTGAAGCAGAAAACTATTCTTGTCCTCTTTCTGTTGGCAGGAAGAAGCTGGATCAGAGAAGAGGGAAGTGGCCTCTGTGGGAGATTGGTCATCTTTCCACACTTCAAAGTTCAAATCTCACACTAAGTTTTTGTTTCAAAGCCAGCTCATTAAAAAAAAAAAAAAAAAAAAAAGTCTCTGAAATCTCAGAGACGAGTCTGTTATTGTTGGTTAATCTCACCTTCTCTTCTGTTTCTCCATTAACGACTGGCTCTGGAAGTGGACCTGCAGAAAAAATAAAAAATAAAAAAATCACAGCAGTTAGCCAGGTAAATGTCTCAATTTGTCTCAGTAAGTCAACTAATTTTTATAAAAAAAATATATATAAAAAAAACATGCAGGAGTTCTTTTCTTATCAACCACATGTTGAAAAGTTGAAGCTTTAGCGTTACCTTCCATCCTATTAACTCCCTTTAGCCTGAACAGATGACTTCTTATAAGAGACAAAGCAAAATATCTGGCTTTTTAAGAATAATTTTAGATTTAAATCTTCAAATCCTTATTGCCTGCGTACCTCTGTGACCTGTACTCTTAAAACAAGCCTCAACGTAGCCCTGGCATGAGTGGCGGTTTTGTACTGGACTTTGTGGAAACCGAACAAAGTGCTGCGCAGCGAAGGCTGCTTGGAGACGCGCAGCGGTGTGTGTCGGTTCGCTGAGTGACAGTGGGCAGCGTGTGGAGAGCTGGCAGTTACCCGGGAAACACCTCGCTGAAATCTTTCCCCTGCAAAGAGGGTTATTATTTCTAATTCTGGACTGAGCAATGTAATCCGTCACGGAAATATAGAAAGTAGAAGTAAATTGATTAAAATAGGACAAATTGATGGGATGCAGGTAGAAGTTGTTGTTTTTTTTATTAGTTTTAAGCTAACATCTTTTTGCCGTTCTGCACTTTGAGTAGAATAAGTCTAGCAACATGGGTAATTAGTGGGGCTATCTGCTCCGATAGCAATGCTGCTACTGGCTGCTTGGCAGACCAGCTTCCAGGCAGCTTAGAACTTTTTGCACAGCGTTACCTTAATAAGAGTGATAGGAGGCACTCTTACTACAGAACCTGAAATATTCCCAAACAGGCTATTTAGTCTTTTTTTCAGCCATCTGATCAGCAGTTTGCAGCAATAGGTGAGGGAGGGGCAGTGCTACTTAACTTTATACTTTATTGTCATTGCACAGCACCACTAAATTGTGTCTTTGACAGCCTTAAGGTTCACAAGTTTAACAATAAACAACCATAAAAACATGACCTGGGCAGGAAAATAGACCATACAATTAAATCAGACACTTTTTTTTCCAGTTTTAGGTTACAGCTCCATATCCCATAATTTGTACAATTTGTCTGACTTTGGCTAATAAAAGTACACCCACAAACACAGAAAAAAATGAAAGTGAACCTGTCTGGTCCTAAATATTAATCCTCAAAGTCCCAAGAGACTTAGCTGAGGCTCAAACTGTTCAAACTATGCAGTTTCTCTGCCGACTCGATTTACCTGACTTATCATTGACTGAGGAATCACTGGACCAAGTAACCTTATATATATGATATAAGGAGACTAAAATGAAAAGTTGTTTTGGACGCAAAATAAAATAATAAATAAATAAATAAATAATAATAAAAGTTGAGACAGAGTTCCTCTACTGTTGCCTTTTTTTCCCCATTTAAACGTCTCTGCCTGGGTGCAAAGACGTTCATGTTTATAAAAGTAATGTTTTGGCAAAATGGTTCTCAAGGTCCTTATTAAAAACTGAACGCCACACACGTGGTGAGTGTCTAAGGAGCAATCTTGTGTTTTCTGGGAGAGGCTTTTACATCAGAAACAAGAACTTTACTACAGCTCCCTCTAGTGGCTTTATTAAAAAAACAACTCAAAACAAACCTCTTCTTGAGATAAAAAGGGCAAAAAGTAAGATGAAGTGGTTTGTGACCTTCACCTGCACTCTGAGACACATCGTCAGATTAAAATAATAACATTTGAGAAAATGCTGTGAGATTACTAAAATGTAGGGTTTTTTTATACATATATGTATTTTGGTGTTTTTTTGCACCGTTAGGCTCAATTTCAGAAAACCTCTTTGCCCTCAAACGTAAACAAGCCGGCTAGTCTCTGATCCATCTGTTCTGATGTATTTATGCTGAAAGATTAACTTTCCCTGCAGGGCAACAACATTAGGTGGTGGTGGCAGGAAGTGGTTTAGTGTCTGTGATCCTCAACAAAAAGAAGGAGAGAGACAGAGAGAGAGAGACAGAGAGAGAGAAAGAGAGAGAGAGAGAGAGAGAGAGAGAGAGAGAGAGAGACAGAGCGTGGCTTGTAAAGAAAAGAAAAAAAATATATAGCAGAAGAGAGCCAAGGAACAAGAGGGGAGGCAGTGAAGTGGCTATAAATACAGCCGGTGACTGACAATGAACCTGGAGAGAAACATTACGAGATAATTGGAGTCATTCAATCAATCACTGCCTCACAATTGCTGCTGATGGGAGTAATGGTGGTGGTGGTGGTGAAGCAGCCTTCTCACCAGTTAAGTGCTTGGAGGTGGGGGTCACCCTGCATCTCTTGAAGAAGGCGTCGGTGTCGGGGTCCACCACGAGCAGCCGGGTCACGTCTCCGCCCGCTTTGATGGCGCCGACCACCTCTGAATGCGTCTTCCCCTCCACGGAGATGCTGTTCACCTGAAGAAGATGATAAAAAAAATCCTTTTACTTTAACCAGGCGTAGTTTTTTTTTTCTGTACGTTTGCTGGCATGTGGTTTATCGCGGTTTTCTTTTCTCAACAGTATCAAACAGGAAGTCCTGTGTCCACACAACCACACACACACACAAAAAAAGATAGTGCACATTCTTCCATGTATTTACAGTCTTTTCAGAGACTATCGTGCCTTAAGAACGGCACGATCCATCATGGGCCAGCTTTCAGATCAGATGATTATTTTTCTGTTTAAATCTCCATGGGAAAGCATGTGAGAAATGTCTCAAGCCATGTGTGTGTGTGTGTGTGTGTGTGTGTGTGTGTGTGTTTAAGTCACTGGGTGGACCTCCAAGACTTAAGCCCAGTCCTTACAGAGGAAGCTGGACAATAGCAGCTCGGCCAGTAACAGCAGCAACAATGGCTGTCCGCTCCGTCCTCAGTGGGTGGTGTGGCCGTCTGGGGCCCTCTCAGGGAGTGGAGACCCAACTCAAGACTGAAGCACATCCTGCAGTCCGCTTAATCCCCCTCTTTTTCCTTTCATTACCTTTAATTGTAGTGCTGCTTATTTATTTTTTATTTTTTTGCAAAGAGGAGTGCAGCAGACTATAGTCCAGCTTAAGTGCTGCAGCTACGGTCACATTGTTTTTCTTGCAGTATTGTAACTTGTGGCTCAAGCCGGCCCCTTTCCTGCCATCTGATTTGTTATGAAATTCGGTTTCTGTGTTGCTTTGCCTGGAAGTTTCTTAGGCATGACGTAAAGGAAGGTGTTTTGTTTTTTTTGTTGTTTTTTTTTCCCAACATTTCCATTACAGTCGTTATTTATTAGTCTGACTCTGGATTCTCAGCGTCCACAGGCCTGCCAGGTCCGACTAACGGTTCAAAGTATTTTAACCTCAACTTATATTTGGCAAAGTTTCATATCATTCTCGCGGTGAGCAGTTTATTTGCTTAGTTTTGGAAACTGTATTTTTCCATTACATCTGCAGATGCAGTTTAAAAATGATATTTCTAGTTAGAAACTATTTTTTGCAAACTGCAGTTGGATATCTGATATCTTAGTCGTAGATCGACTTGTAGATGCAATTTTCTGCAAACCACATCCACACAGCTGCATTTGTTAGCCCTGGTTTAAGAAACACTAAAAACACCTTAATCTCATTTTGAAAAGGTCGTGGCAGCTCTCTTACGGTGCGTTTTATTCTGGCCCAGCATCGTGTGTCACGCCTCCAGTTGTCTAAAACTTGTACATTATCTCTCTGACTGTAGATATTAGCCTAATGTCTAACCCTAAAATATTATTTTCATTTTTATCGGCTGACATTAAATCAGACTAAACATTCTCTCACTTTGGTCAGTTAAGATTACCTGAATTATTTCTTAGTTAAACATAAAGAGAAACCTTTATTGCTTTTTTTTTTTTTTTGTAAAATGTTGGAAGTTTACAAACAGTATTTGGTCGACAAACATTTTGTGAATCCTCCCACATACGTCTCAAACGATGTGGAAAAGTTTTTTCAGGCTGCGTTTCTCACTCTCCTTTTCAACTCGGCCCAAACATTTCCAGTGGGGCCGAGATTAGGGTTTAGCAAAGATTGCTCCAAACGTGGTCACTTTAAGCTTTAACGTCTGCCACTGAAACGCTTTAATTATAGTTTTATCAGAACGGATCTCTGAAAATTAAGGCGTTTGTCGTGGAGTGACAATCTTTTTAATAATGGATTCTTCTGTGCCGAGTGGCCTTTCAGTCCAGGCTCATACAGGACTGTAGATAATTCAGCAATACCAGCATCAATCAGCATATTTACATGGTCTTCTGCTTTTTTTAAAAATATATATTTTACACCTAAACATGTTCCTCTCTGCGACACACAACAAATGAATGTGGCATTTTTTTAAAATTGCTCCAATGGGATGAAGTCTACAGTTTTCTCCCTGATATCTTGTCTGATTTATTTATTTATGTCCATAAAAACAAAGAAGCCACGTTCAGGACATGTGTCTCTAATTAACTCAAATATATTGCCAATCTGTCAGAACTTCATCTGGACTTTCACACATTTTTAAGTCTAGAATTTGAAGAAAGACTTTAAATAGAAGCCACAATATTTTTGACATTTAGAACTTGGAAATCCTTTTACCTATTGTGATTAAAATCTAATCTAACATAAAGGACGTGCGTCTTTATACAGGGTTTTATAAACATGATTTCACCTGTTTATGCCCTTTTTAAATGCATGTTCTTATGTTTCCCCCGTTTTGAACAGTGACTGAGGAAGATTAGCCTCCGTCTCACTGCTTCACATTACAATACTGGCAAACCCCATTCAAATTTCCAAATTAACTGTTTTTAAAATAAGCTCATCTTTGCTGCAGTCGAGAACGACTGAAACCGGTTCAAACAAACAAACATGAATTCCTGTTCTTACGCACTTGATACCTGAAACGTGAAGCCGGCGGATCACAGAAAAGCCCAGAACAGCGAACATATAAAGGCTTTCAGTCTTAAACCACACTGTAGGTGAGGCCTGGTTGCACAACGCGCCATTCTTCTCTATTTTTGTCTAAGAAACCCTGAGCTGACGACAGCGGAAGTGTGCAAGGCAATCAGGATGCGTCTGTGGGAATGTTTTCTGGCAGGTGGCTCTTAAGAGCTTATTTCTATATGAATACAACAGGACTGATCCAGTCAGACTTAGCTTTAATGGTGTCTCTGTGCTCATTTCCCGTCCTGTGTGATCTTCAAAGGACTCCAGCTCTTTAACATTACCTCTACTATCCTGTCCTTCGGCTGCAGGCCGGCCCTCTCAGCTGGAGAGTCGTCATCCACCGCTCTGATGTACTGGCCCGGCCGCGCCCGCTCGCTGTGCAGGTTGAAGCCATATCCGTTAGACCCCCGCTGGATCACGCAGAGACGTGGCCGCAGCTCGGCGCGCTCCTCCTGCAGGACAAATCACACATGTTAGAGATCTGAGCGGCAGGAGTGAAGCAGTGGGTCAGCCCCTTAGGGAGGAAAAAAAAAAAGAGAACAACTAAATACCTCCACCATGGGTGTCGGTTCAGAGAGGACAAGGGGCACGAAGATGACGGAGAGCTCCTGTGACTCGTTTACCATGAATATACAGCCGAGGGCGAACATGCAGGTGTCTGCTGCGGCATGCTGCAGTGTTGTGTGCCGTGTTTTCAACAATCAGGGGTAAACTTCAGCGGCGCTTTTTTTCGGCCCACGTGATTCCGAGTGCTCGCCAGGAAGGAAAGGGGGGTCTGTGATTGGAGGTCTGTTGGGAAGGTTTCTGGAGTATTTGCGAAGGGGGCTCTGAGGAAAAGGGACCGGTTCCGGAGCGGCTCCGAGGAGGACAATGGGAGCTGGGCGTTGACCTCTGACCGCCTCTCCCATCTCTGTCTCGACCAATCCTGCTCCGGGATGGCAGGGAGAGTCGGAGCTGTATTGTCATCCAGGAAAAAACCTCCAGCCTGATCCCAGAGCCTCCCTTCCGCTGGTGGGATGAAACGGGTTCTAAGTTTAGAACCCGGAGGGTCGAATGGTTTTGTCATCAAAGAGGACGATGCTGAAATAATGAGCAAAATCCTAGAGTCAAGGCGACCTTTGTCACCGTGGTCACACCTGAACTGACGCTCCCTCCCTTAGTCAACTAGACGCTTTCAAGAGAAATCAATGGCCAACTAAAAGCACATAAAACCATTAACTTTACTTATTTCAACACTTGATGCAGCCTGGCTCAACAATTAATCTCGCAATGATTGATTGTCACTTCGCTGTTACGAAACCCAGCTGTTCTTACCCAACAACATCTGCTGTTTTGCAAACTGCTCCGTTTTGCAGAAAAAACGTGCCTAAAATGAGAAATTCATGTCTGGGTTTAACAGAAGTCAAAATGTTTAGAGGAAGATCTGTGTTGGCAGAAAGAGAAACCATGAGCATAAACTGGAACAGTTAGAATATATACGTCATAGTTTCTACACCGGAAGATGCTAAACTGAGAAATTAATTTCTTATAAGTCACATTGTAGAGGAAAAAAAGAGGCCACACCACTCTTGTGATTAATGAATCACAATGTCTGTGACCCTTTGTAGGAACCCAGCAGCTGATAGAAACTGGAAACGTAACCTCTGAGGTTAAATTGACTTAATTTAAGAAAAAAGTCACCTCAGAAACGAGAACTGAAATTAAATTACATGGCATTAGGATCGTCACTGTAGTCTCTGCCAACGCAAAGACGCAGCAACAAAGCAGTATTTGATAGACTGTTGCCCTGTGCAGTGAAAATGCAGTTTCACCATCGCAGATTTTTTTTCTCTTATTTGCTTTTATGTCACACAAAATGTTTGAATAACTTGAGTAAATACAAAATGATTTCAGTAAAAAGCTATCCAATCTATTTGGGTGAAAATGTAGCTGTCCTCAATGTTAAGTCAAAAATTAACTGTGAGCATTTTTGGTTCAGTTTCACCAACCTCACCTAAGCCATACCTGTAAAATCAATGTGTTTTAAAGTAAGACCCGTCTGACATCATGAAATAGGCTAAAAGATCTCGAAAAGAAACACATTCAGAAATTCAGAGTTAGGAAAAGGAAACACAAACTCTGTTTTAATACTGCTACTTATGCCAACAGGACTACTTCCTAATATGCTAAAGATAGTTTCGTACACCCTGGAGGATGTTTTTGCATCAGTGACAACAAGCATAACAAATATAATTTGCAGAAGGGTAGATGGTTAATGTGATAGAATTGCATTGCATTCCATCAGTGTCAGCATCTTTTTTTTTCTATTTACTAAAATCATGTTGAGAATCTCTTCGCTTTTGCTTTCTTCTTTAATATCCGTTTGACACAAGCTAAGAAAGAACTGATGAAAATAAATCAGTTTTTAAACAAAAATGATACATAATTCTGAATCTTAACCCTGAATGTGTTGTCTAATGACAAAATAAATATATTCCTACTCAATGTAGGTTTTTCCAAGGTTTGCATGCAGAAGTAAAAAGTGTAAGCAGATTTATTACACTTCTATGATGTGGAGTTTCTTTAAATTGGGGCTAAAAATATTGGTAATATCAGGGTCTTGTTAATGAGCTACTTTGTGATGAGTGGCCAAAATGTGACTTTTAAATTAGCATATAAATCATCTTAATTGTTTGTGTAATTTTAATCTCTTTCCTTGTGTAAAGACCTTAGCATATACCAAGTGCTGCATGAAACACAAACAAACATGCATTGCCTTATGAGGGCTCTAAATTGCAAAGATGCAAGTAAAATTACAGAGGGGACAAAAAGGTGGAGTCTGCTTTTTATGCCTCATTTTGCGTCAGTGAGTCTAAATTAGTGGATCGTTTCCTCTCTTATTGCCGTTCCCCCAATGCTGCAGGAGCACTTTGCACCATTTTCAAGCTATGTTTAACTCAGAAAAGCACCATCTCTTGTGCAACGTTAAAAACTCCTTTGATTCACAGTCTAGCTACGTCTCACGTCGTACGTGCTAATCAGCGAAACCCTGTGTGCGCGTGACGACGTGAGTTTGGGTTTCAAAGCTCCTGCTTGTTTTTGTGCTGATTTCTCTTTCATGTTAGGAAGTTGAGCCATCAGATGGAAGCATATTGAGGAAAGATGTGTCAACAGTTCCTGTTCTTCACTTCCTCTCTCGTCAAAGGGAAAGTCTGAGTCCCTGAAAGTGCGTTCATTTCAATAAACATTTTTATTTTTTATTTTATTTTTTCCATTTCCGGGAGGAACGTTTCGCAAACTCTAATAAAGACGCCATTTGACTTTGATATTTCATAAAACTGCGGCAAATATTGATAAGCGGGACAAGATGGTGAGGATTATAATTTTTTTTTAAGCTTCCTCAAGAGATAAAGAGCTTCACGCTCGTGAGATGATGCTGGATTATCATGTTTCCTCTGAAACATTTTGTCATATTGGACATAGTGTGCTTGTACCGTTAAAGCACTGAGCAGCTGGAGTACAATCACATTTGTTAGCGTCTTGAATTCCCGTCCCGGGTTGCGTGTGCTCAGCAGATTCCACAGATTGCCGAGCCGTGTGGAGATTCCTCGGCCCCCCCGCTCCTCCGTGACACAGACCGTCCTCTGTTGTCCCTGCCGGGGTGAGCTGCGTCCCGTCCCAAGCCGCAGGGATGCCCAGCGTCAGCTGGGGGAGTCCAGTGGCATGCCTGAAACGTTTCGTCTTTCTCTTTCCACTTGTCTTCATGCAGATTAGCATATCTAATGTCTAAGTGAGATTATAATCACACATCACGCACAATTTAGGACTCCCCCCCCCCCTTTTCCATCAGAGATGAGTGCAATGCATCATCCTTAATCTTTTCCAACTAGCACTCCCATTAAAAGTCTTCAGTTTGGAAGTTGCTATACCGACTGGAGATGGGTTAGCTATTCTGGGTTTTGTTCGTTTTGAAGGCAGATCAGAGATGCAAGATGGTATTGAAAATAATTCAGTTTTGACATTAAAGGTTTTCCATTGTAATTGGCAAATTTTAAACCCTCAAAATACCAGATTTTTATTTTTATTAGTCAAAGAATCCGTTTCTGGTTTTGGAGCCTTTTGAACTGTATTTTTAATTATATATATATATATATATATATATATATATATATATATATATATATATACACACACACACACATACACTGTATATATTCTGTATGTATATATTCTGCCTTAGGTGCGTGACACTTTTGTAGAAATAAATCTTAAGCTTTAGCTCCTGCTTTGTTTTTAAGATTCACTTCACAGCTTGACGTGATCGTGCACCAGATCTGTTCTGGGTTCCCTCAAGCTCTGATAACAAGGAAACATCACAGTTTGGTTTGACATAACAGCGCCTGAAACTGAAAGGGAGGATTAGCTTCTATTTTTGCTCTTTTGCAGAAGGGAAACATTTGTATACGTCAGACAGTTACAAAAGGCTTTGCTTTTTATCATTTTAAGATTCTACAAAGGACTTTTATTGTATTTTTGTACGTTTCCAATCTCATAAAGACGCAAAGAACTTCTTTTAAACTTATTCTCTGTGCTCTCACATGTCAACAATCATTGCTCTGTGGTTTGCAACAAACATTTTCTTTATTTGGACTCACTGCAGATTGAACCATGAAGCTTTCTATCACAAACCGATCGACTAAAGTCATATAATTTCCTACACCGCAGAAGAAATTATCAACAGGAACAATGGATTCAGCAGTAGATGTGACAAGCATAGTTACATTGGATAATCAACTGGTACACACACACACACACACACACACACACACAAAGTGAAAGAATCTATACTCGTGGGACAGTTTTACAAAAATCTTACCGTTTTATCTTGGAACATACATTTAATATAAGGGCAATTAAGTTCAATACTGTGTCAATAAATCACTTTATCTATCCTATGTGGCCAAACCATGACACATCATTAGTGAAAGGGTGATTATATCTAGTTCCTTTCAGGGAAAACCTGCAAGGAGTGTCTGTAAAATCAGAGGAACTTCCCTGACCAGAAGGCCGCCTTCGACATTGTCAAATCTAATGTTGCTTCCAGTTTTTTATTCAAAGTTAGATTTAAACTCTCATTGTATATATTCCTTCCTTACTTGTGTATGCTGAATATTGCCTGTTATCAAACGATATTTTTATGAACCGCTATGTCTGACGTCATAGTTATATGACGATCCCTGGTCTTTCCCATTTTGAAGAGTTGCCAAGGCCTCTGTGTCAGGTCATGCTTATGCTACAGAGAAACAAGAAGTCACTAATTTCAACTTAAAAGCCTAATTTATAGAAGTAAAACAAAAATAAAGAAATGTTTTAACTGTTCCTCCTTTTTGGGACTTGTGGCACCATAAACTGAGTAAAAATATGCTTAATGTTGCACAATCATATGTAACGGGTTGTGTGTAAGTTCAGGAGA